ATTCATTAAATTGGCATATTTACCTTTTTCTCTTGTCCATCATTATTTGTAATATAATCGATGTTGACTAGTAAGCACACTTAAGTGTAATACTTTACTTATGTATGTTGGATTTCAATAATTTTATATATTCAATGGTAAACAGATTTGCTTCTTATCAATATTTCCTGACACTAATCTATATTAATCAAGTTATTTTACTTTACTTTTTGATAAAGTATTCACTATGATAATCCTAATTGTTTTAGTGACTACATGACACACTAGCACTTGACTCAATTTTAATTCACTAGTTTAGGTTGTTCATTCCCCATATACCTGCTTCTTCATGAACAGGCATTGTTAAACGAATTAGTCACCAGTGTGTAACTGATAAAACTGTCTAGTTATTGATGCCCAGCACTGATCGAAGTTTATCGATCAAATTTTACAGTGTTGCCCCTAAGCTGAGTGACGCTGTATAAAATAGTGGAGTCGATCCGAGAAAGTTGGTGCCTGTTGGCAACTATCAGCAACGCGAATATGGAACTGTGACGAAACTGATGTTCCCTCAGCTATTCGAACATTCATAAGACAGACAAAATCAACGCAGAACCTCGCACACAAGTGCATCTGCTCAATTTGCTACACAGCTGGATAGAAAAGTGATTACAAATTGCATAAAGTAGGACGAGAGAATAAACAATCTGAAGATGAACGGTAAGTTCAGACATTCAAGCTATAGAAGATGTCAAGGACTGAATATATCTGCGCCATTGTGACCGATTTTCAGCCATGTCTTCAAGAGTCGTCAACCACTGATTCCTTTCATCTCGGAGACCCGAACCAAGCAGTCTACATCGAACATGACTGTGACCAGCAGTTCGGGACTTGTTGCACTGGTGCCACATCTTCAACTAGTCACCTTGATCCCTCTTCCAACCTCATCCAATTTCCCCTAGCGTGACACATTAAGGTAGGTGATGTCTCGGCATATGAAGTACATGTCAACTTATTTGTTCTGCCTATTACCCTTCCACTGACCTCAACATTGCTCCCACGGTGATTCCACCAAACGCGAACAACGCTACAAAATCACGTATGACCAAAGCTCTATAACCGCTTCATATCTTCTACTTGCAACGACCATATCTCAGCTGTGCAACAGGACAGAACAGACTGCAGCGCAATATACTCTTCCTTTAATAAGTAGTTGGATATCTCGCCAGTCGACCTCAGAAATGACGCAAGTTAGCAAATATCAAATGCAATTTTTGAGTCCGAGCTGAGATTTCATCCGTAGCCACCTCGTTCTGGCCAATGCAACTCCCTAAGTGAATGAAGTGGTCAGCACATTCCACCACTTTACTCCCTGGGAGTAGTAGCAGACCAGTTCTTCAGCATCATCTTACATTTGATAGGTGCGAGACGCACGCTAAACATACTCAGACTTCTGACCAACTCATTCATAAGACCCTGCGTTTTGTTGGTGTTTTCACCTAGAGGGACAGTGTCGTCTACATACTCCAGGTTAACCAGATGACGCCTGGGGAGTAGATTGATTTTTGTAAAGTCAGACGTATTTAAGGTTATGTTCATTAGTACGCTTGTAATGAAGTTGAATGGAAACAGTGACAGTAAGGTATCCCTGGTGGACATCACTCGTCGCCATCACTGTAAATGGCTAATCTACATAAGCCCTTGCACGGCTGCTTAACTTCAAGTAGAGAGCATTGATTAGCGTTTATACTTTCTTCACGGTCAGACACTGCCACAGTACCTCACGGTCGACAGAGTCACGAACTGCCTTCAAGTCAAGAAATGTGGCCATTGTCGGCCGCCAGTAGGTATGCCTGTGTTCCGGAAGCTGTCGGAGGGTTAAAACATGATCGATCGACCCTCGTCTGAGTCTGAAACCTACGTAGTTTTCTCTAGTTTGCTTTTTTGCAGATGTAGTTGGTATTTCTTTGTTTCATAACTGTTATTTTCTTGATCTGACGGTGCAGCTGATTTGACTGATTATAACTCCAATTTAGGCCTCCTCTTTGGTTCTATGATTACTGAACTCTGGGGTTTCTCAGAACGCTGGTTCTGTTGACTACTACTGTATTAGGTCACCATGTACGTATACATTTTTATTACCGCTAACATGACAACAGCTGATTCACAGCGAAGACAGATGTTATCTAACAACCTCAACTAAACGACAATGTAATTGACAGCATATAGCGAAAATGAACAAGACCGAAAATGCGTTAGTGGCTAAGCGAGAATGTCGGTGAAGTATTAGTTAAGACCACTCACTACTGATTAGTTGTTTATCTCTTTAATAGCCATACTATATGTGACAGATTACATTCTTCATTATCTCTGACTTCTATTGAACATTTATTCTGCAGCAGTTCACTAGTTTATGTTTGAATTTGTGTGAACCAGTTGTGCAAGGTGTTTAAACTGATGTGTACCTTTTGGTAATGATTATTTTCTTGACTAAGTGAGATCCTTATGTTTGTGTAGATAGAAGTGTACTATGGATTATGGCCGTCAATAATATTGCTTTACACCAGTCATTACCTTCAGTGCAACTTCAGCGAAAGTCAAAATATTATTGATTTCTATTGTGTTATAAGTTTCCAAACTATTCGAAGTTATGGCGTTAACAGTCTCAACTGAAAGTATACCTTCATCTTGATGACTAGCAGTGGAATCCACGATGCACGTTTCGTCCTAATTGGAACTTGTCAGTTGGATGTACCTGCACCCCAGGGAGTGATGTTATTCCCACTGAGACTCGTATTCGCTACTCATCGTTTCAAACACCAAAGCGTTATCCACTCGGCTACTAAGACACAAAAATCACCACGTGTGCAACGGGTATCATTCGTTGTTATTTGTTACTTGTAATTTCCCATTTCTAAACAGGCCCGCAGTGCTTAGCCTCTATTGGCAGACGTGCTCTTGTGCGGATGCCTCGATACTGCGGAGTATTCATGGTGATGACTGAGAAGTTCATTCAGATAGGGTAAGTGGCCTGAAGCTTATTTGGTTGTTAATGATTTCTGAGGATTATTATTCAGAAGCTTCTTTGAAAGCCTAATACAGACTTCTATCATATCAAAAGTAATCCATGATTGCCTACAAATAGATGCAAATTGGACAGAATACATGTTTTTTGTGACATGTTACTTTGCATTAACTAGTCTGTTATTTTAGTAGTGTGTAGTTTATGTATTTGTTTTAGTTGTGTTATGATATTATAAGTGTTCTACTGTCAGTTATTCGGGTCAGTGGTTTAGTATCCAGTACATCTGTTTCATCCAGTACCCATAATACTATTCAGTATCACTACAGACATGGTCTTTAAGTGGATGAACATCCATTCTTGGTTATTTCCTACGTTTCTCATATCATTTTTTTTCAGGATATAGAACAGAATAGTAGCAAATGCGTTTTTTTACACCAGAGGATTTTTTACACACGGATGTTCATTGTGCAGTCGAAATCTATCATATAAGACAAATATAGAAGTAGTTTTTACTGCAACCTAAACTCCATCGAACTCTTCAAGGACTGAATAGTCCATTTTCTTACTTTTGTTGTTTCTGTACAAACTTTGTACGTGACCGAACCCATGTATCGCGTTAAACGCTACCTGGTAACTGTATTATGAAAATGTTTAACCAACGGAATGTTCATTTTTACTTGGTTTTCAGTTGAAATACTCAATAAACTACGCTGAGAGTGAGGGTATATTTCAGAATAAGTAGAAATTCAATTGCTGCTTTGCATTTATACAAAATGAGGTGGACACAATATACCCTAATATGTGGGGTCATGACTGGAGTAAACACGGAATTGAAGGCCTCAAGTAACCTGGAGCAAAAGTACATCTTTATATTTAATCATTGGCTGCTATCATTCAGTCAACATCAATATTCAGACATGATATTACTGAATAACGGTCTGAATTGCCACACCTCACATCACCACATGAAGGTAGGAGGTGAAGTGATGAAAAATAAATCGGGATTAAGCAGTAAGAAGTGGTACAAAGTCGTGAAAAGACAGCAAAGAGGAGTGAGACAACAATTAAGTTAGGTGTGACGATTCAGACGAAGACAATTTCCTGATGCATAAATGCCACTAAGATTGATTCTGGGCTATATCTCTTAGAGTTGCTAACCACAGATTTTGGAAGTTATAAGCCTATATGTCTCTGCTTTACTCTGACTAACAGTCAGAAAGTACATGAATTGATGATATATTTCAGTCTCACTGCTATCATATACCATTTTAAATCTTGCATCATAATTTATAACTCAAAACAATTCCTTGATATGCTTGTAGTTCTCCATTGTTTTACTGGATCAAATTGTTCGATCTCTATTGGCATATGATCTGTCGTTCCTCCGTGGCCTAGTGGATAACGCCCTGGCGTTTGAAGCGATGGGTTTGATGTTCGAATCTCGAGGGGGTGCGGGGTGGCAACATCACTCACTGGGACGCAGGTGCACCCAGCTGACGAGTCCGGAACGGGACGAAATGCGCTCCCCGGATTCTTCTGCTAGCCACAACCAAGTAAACTACCATAATTAAGATTCAGGCAATATTAAGGCATCCGCATAGCTGAACATACGCCAATAAAGACCGAACAATTTGATCCGGTAAAACACCGGAGAACTAAAAGCATATCAACAAGTAGTAACAACTAATACCCATTGTACAAGAGGTGGCTATCGTGCCTCCTTGACGTAGTGGATAACGAATCACTGTTTGAAGCCATGGGTACGGGGTTCGAGTCTCAGTGGGAACAACATCACTCCACACTGGGGTACGGGTACATGCAGCTGACGAGTCCCAAATAGTACGCATCCTGGATTCCACTGCTAGCCCCACAACCATTTAAATTATCAAAACAATTCAGTTTTAGTGTTTAACACAATAATACTCTGCTTTCTTCCTTATTGTTTGAATAATAAGCGTTTTATTAAATATTTTTCAATTCTTCAATTACACTATAGCCGAATCGGTTCTATTTTAACATTGAAACGTGTGGATCACTTCAACCAAGAGCTATTATCTTTTCTGGTTTAACTGTATTGAAAAGAAAACTTCAAAATCTTTTGGATAATTTAACACAAGAAGGACTCTGAAAAATACTAACTATCCGATCAATTGTAATAAATTGAAAAGAAAAAAACGAACTTGTAAATAATATTTTTATAAATTGTAATGAATCTGTGTATTAATACAATTTTTGGCTCATGGTGTACAAATTTCGTTGTAATGAGAGTCACATTTTTTTCAATTTTATTCAATGACACTTCTAAGCTGATATGTAAAGGAAAAGAAAACATCGGTAGTGACATTGTTTACTGTCGAAAACTCTGGGTTATGTCTGATATATAGTCTAATAAGCCAACCATAAAACCTCTGAACTAATATGAGTTCTCCTGTTAGCCCGCTATTAGCAAACTGCTTTATGTCTAGTTTGGAAAACATCTATCTAAAGCCCAGAAATGATGAGTTTTTGGTGTTCAAAAGGTATGTTGACGATATCTTCGTAATTTGCCATAATGACTGTGATTTAAACCTGTGTGAGAAATGGTCAGCTGATGAACTTGTACAGTTGAATATTTATAAGTCGAAAAAGAACACTCATTCACATTATACGTCACTTTTTATTGGTAGTGAAATTCTCCATATCTCTGGTATGGCTGTTGCATCATTTCTATTACATGTGTTGAGTGTTGATTCGATGAACAAAGATTCAGTAATCTATCTCTCTCTCTCTCTCCACCTAATTATATTGGACTTAAGTACAGTGGCTTTATCCCGCCCTATTGTGTGGTTGTATGTTAATGCGTGCATAGCAATAGCCGAGTTTTTTTTCTAGATTATTGATCTTATTTAGATGTTGTTCTATATTTAGCTAAATTCTTCAGTCGTCCAGTGTTTCTTGGTAATTCGAAGGATTGGCTATCGAATTTGATCACTTCCATGCATGTTTATCGATTTCTCTGTTCCTGTGGAGCCAGGCATGTTAGTCTTTCGATGCACGTTCTTTCCAGATGGGTAAGAGAATATTACCCCACCTGACTGGAAAGAAATGCGAATGGATCTATCATAAGTGTAATAATTGAACACTATCAACACTGGTCTCAGCACCACAACTGATTCAGCGTTCAAAGTCATGTACAAGATGAAAAGGAAATTGCCTAAAATAGTGCGTTTCTGACTTCTGTATACTCTTAATTCAGGTTATTCCATTAGACCGATAGCTGACTCCTGAAATACTCCAACATTTGACTTATCCAAGTACTTGGCACTGATATTATGTTCTGTTAGGTAGAGTTCAAATTCTTGAATAGTCAATGCCTACAAATTGATACTAAGACCTAATAACATACATGTAGTAGATGATGAAAAAAATGACTAGTTTGAATGTAACAAGCCTCTGTTGTAAGATACCAATCATTATGGCACAAGAGGCAGTCAGAAATCAACTAAATATTGACTCAGAACTAAATTGTGGACTGATGAGATCATTCTAGGTGTACAGTTGTATCTGACCTATACAGTTTTCAAGTTTCACGACAAAATATATCGATGAACAGAAGGAATAGTACTAGGATCCCTAGTTGTAGCAGACGTATCTATGAATAGTTGAGAAGACACGGCTTTATGAACATTTAATCCCACTTTTAAGATTTTGTGACGAAATGTGGATTACACATTTACTGTATTGAAATCAGAACGTGTCGGTAGTATTTTCACAAATATAAACTCATTAATAGGTGCAATCCACTTCATTAACGAGGTAGAAAATGAACAACGAGAATTATCTATGTTGAAGAACAAATGGTGGTTTGGATACTACCGTCTACAGAAAACCAACAAATTCTAACAAGTATGTAGATTTCACGTCATCTAATATCAGTTAGGCGGGTTTAGTCAGATGTTTAAATAATAGAGCTAGAAAACTCACTATTCCATGGAAGGACTTAAATCAGAAATGGAAATACATAAAAGAAACACCAAGCGTCTTTTGGAGTTGGTTGAGAAATTTATAGGAAAATAGTCAAAAAGAACTCCATAGCTTCTATTCTGTTACTATAGAAAGAAGTAACCGGAAACTACGTAGGATTTTCAGTAAGGGTGGTATTAAAGCCTAATAGCTCATTGAAAGATAAGCTTTGTTTGCTTATGCATCCAGCAGACTCAATTAAACAAAGTAGTTTGATCTATCGAACTCCATGCAATGACTGTGAGGTCAAACAAATAGGATCAGTTAAATTATGTGAACTGGAATTCGGTTAAATGTAGAATGATAGACTCGATAAGATCAAAAACCTATAAAAAGACCCCGCTATCGCAATGGATGCATTAACACATCCAGACAGTAGGGTGAGATAAGACCACCATACTTAATTCCAATATAGCTAGGTGGAAAGAGACTGATTACTGAGTCTTTGTTCATTAAATCAACACTCATCATAATGTGGTAGGAATGACGCAACACCTATACTGGAAATAAGGAAGATTTCGCTACCACTTAAAACAAAGAATGTGATGGGACCATAAAAAACATGTCGAAAGTTCTATAACTACTTTAATATGATTTATGCTCAGAACTACAAGAACTAAATAATACTATCCCTACGCAATTACAGTTTACCGCAGTGTCGAAGTTTTACACTTATATATCAATGAGAATGGCTGCAAAGATCTGATTTATGAACTTCTGCCTACATTTGAAACCTGTATGATTTTTTGTGATCTTTCATTTAGTCATTGGATAACTGATAAAGACGGTACGATCTTTGAAATGATGTTAGTCAAACCGATACTCCTGTGGTTATTACATGCCAACTTCTCTCCTTTCTTATAAACTGTAGCCATCGCCAATCAGACTAGACTATCTCTTATCACGATATTCTGGTTAGTTAGTACCACCTCCGTCTTTTGATGGTACACCATTAGGTTCTACTAGGATTATCAATAGTTCACAAAGTCACTGATAATAGTCGAAAGGCATCTAGCCAGGGATTCCAGGTTCTTGAGATAAGATTCTCATGACGGTAGGAATTATTGATTTAAAACTTCAGACAATATAACCAGAGATTATTTGCAGTGGTTCAAATGCCTCCAATATAACGTTGTAGTCAGACGACATTATTTTGTACCCACTTCTCACATATTTAGTCTGTTTCCTGTTATTTACCGGTTAACATATCGCCGATAGATCAATTGGACAAACAGGGATGAAATACGCGGTACAATAATAAGACCGCCTAGATTAAAGACGATAAGCTTTATTGAAGAACTGTTTGGTCAAAACGCGGACTAAATCCACCGTTTAATATGATGTGGAAGGGTTTGTATAAAGATGTTAAAATCAAAAGCATTCACTTGATCTTTCATTAGTTCCCATGCTTTCTTTTTCAAATCCAACTATTCTTCCGTAGTGTTGTGTGAGGATGATACATCTCTGAGAGCTTTTTCTGTTTCTTTAACGTTTGAGTCTTATATACAGCAAGATTTGTAAGTCGATGAGTCTTCATTGCCTAAGAATATCAGTCTAGAAAAAACCGGTGAATAATGTTAAGTCATATCCTAGTAGTCTTAAAGTCTGCTGGCTTTGCAACTGATACATTGTATTTCATGGTTTCTTATCATCTGTAACTAGCTGAAAGCTAAAACAACTGAAAGGTATTATGAGTTGGTAATCATTCCCCGAGCTGATATCGAAATATAACATAGCAAACTTCTGATTTGAATAATTACAAAGAAATCGTTAACCGTATTCATAATATCTACTGTTACAACATAGTTAAACAGGAGAGTTGACATTTATTCCGGGAAACTGTCGTACATCTGGAATAGGAATCCTTACGAATACACGAGGTGATTGTGCAAACATCATAGGAGCTGTGGCTTACTGACCCATGCATTTGACTTCCAACCGACTGGTCTCGAGTTCGAACCCCACCCTGTTAACCGATATCTGAGGAGTCAGGTGGCATCATTAAACTTCATATGATAGGTGTAGCTCATCGTCCAATGCATGAAGTTGCATGTGATTACTGACTAGATTTCGACTTCTGAGAAATTTCCATAACTCAATATTGATGGGTCAGGCATAATGTGAAATAGAAATCTTAATGATCATAATATCAAATGTTGATGGTATGTTTTGCTTTTGCATTTAAGTTAGGCTGGAAGCATTCGATTTTAGTTAATTCTGTTCGCATATTATGCAGAATTTGTGGCGATAACAAATGAGGAACATTGTTGCTGAAACACTACCAAAAGAAATAAATATTTTCGATTAGAAAAGTATACTGTCAACATTTCAGTACTAACATTATCAAGGGATATACTTCATGGGACATTCTATCATAACGCCTAGCTAAAGCAGTCAATAGGATGTTTTATGCAGGTTGGTTTTGCACATCATTCAGTAGTTGGCCAATGCTCAATCCAAGACCAAAGGATAGCCTACCTAATCTTAGCTATTCATCTCGCATGTATCAATTTAACTGTTGCTGTGGAACTAGTTACATAGGGCCTACGATTAGGCAGATGCTTCTTCGGATACGAGAGCATTTACCAGTTTAGTTCAGAAAAGGCAAAGTAAAAGTAATGAAAAACTCAGTTCTAGCACATCTATTCGACAAAGGGCATCACATAGACGTTAATAAAGCTTTCAATATCATTTTTCGTGTTCCAAAAACTATACCACATGTAGCTCTCCAACGCCTGCTTAACATAGAGGAGGTTGTCGCAATAAGATTGATCAAGCCTGAACTCTGTATTTAGAAAGAATATATCCAAGCGTTACTTCTCCTTTGGCCTTCAGTAAACCAGTGGACACTCCTGTCTTCTTTATTCTGTATCTTTTTTCTCACTATCATATCATTCTTCTGTATATGTATCATCCTAATATTGACTCATTTAGAAAAGACAAATCGATTTCCTTACAATCCCTAAATCTCACTTCATTTTGGAAATGTACTTGTCCCTAACATAGCTTGCTTTTACTCCGTATAAACAGATTTTATAGTTGCAGAACCTGAAGAGAGTTTATTGAAAAGAATATTCTTTGTTCCGATTATTACTATTTTTAATAAGCAGTTTGCTAAACGATTATCAGTTGTCTGAGAATATAACATACCAGTTGGTATTCACTGCTATGTAAAATATTTCGAAGACAAAACAGTGAAAATCAAAAAAATGATCTCTACTCATTGTTCGAATCTATTCAGCTGGAGAGAATTTTTATATGCTGCTTATAAGATGGTATTCATTATTGTGAAGTAGGGAAATGTAATACCTTTGAACAGATAGTTAGAACAGTACAGAATTCTTCGTAAAAGTTCAAGAATTCATGATGCTACATTCATCTTAGTGACTAC